TATAAATGCTTACATTAAGTATTTATTATTTAAGATTACTGCATTCCTCAGATTTTTTGGAATGTGGCATTTAATTATCCATTGGGACATTTTTAAACTTCCCTTTTGCTTTCTTGACTGAGTCATTTAGAAATGTGTTGTTTAATTTCCAAAAATTTGAAGGTTTTTGTAGACATCTTGCTATTTATGATTTAATTTTCTTTTTTGTTGTTGTTGTTGTTCAAAGGATATAATCTACATTTTTTTTCAGTTCTTTAAAATTTACTGAGAGTTGTTTTATGTCTTGGGAGGTGGTGCTTCTTAGTGAATGTACTATGTGGACTAGGAAAAAAATCTTCATTTTGTATTTGTTTTGAAAACTGGCCTGTAAGTGAATGAGGTCTGGTAGGCTATTTGTTTTCTTCCCTTATCAGTTCCTGCCAGTTGTGTGTTAAATTTCCAACATTCATATGGTTCTGTCCTCTTTTTCCACTGGTGTTCTCACATTTTTAAAATTTTAAATATTGATTTAAATAGCATTCTATTCCCATTTCATGGATTCCACATCCCATGTCTCTGAGGATACTAAGTACACTTTGCAGTTCTCTTCATCCTATACTTTATCTCTCCCTTTGAGTTCTTTTGCCTCTTTCTGGTTGTAGTTTTTATYTGATGCTRTTCATATTAGTAGTTTCCTCCAAGGTTTTGACTGTTCCTATTTAAGATTGAGGTACCAAGATGTGGGATTAAATGTGTGTGTGTGGGTGGGTGGGACTCTCCTGTGGCCTGATGAGGCGGGTCTGGCTCTTGTGTTGGGGACCAATGCAGTGTTAGCATCTGCAGCACAATTGCTCTATTCTCTCAGTTTATGGTGATCCTTCTATTGATCTTCCTGGAAGTCTTTTCACTCAATGGCCACAAAAGGTAGCCTGGTTGACTAAACCCCAGTTTCTGGGGGAGGGATGTGTTGATTGTAATGGGTTTTTATCACGACTGTCAATAAAAGCTCCTCTTTGTACTACAGTTCGTTTACCAGTCTTCAAGGGTAAATAGTGATGCTAAATCCCAATCCTTTCCAGATTTTTGTATTGGAATTCAGCTTGTTTCTTGTCAAATTTCCTCCTACACAGCTGACATTGATAACTCCATCTGTCCAGTTTTGATAGATACACAGATACCAAGGCTGATGTCTTAACTTGAAGAGTTGGGACTTCTCTGACTCAGTTTGTGAATTACTTGTTAATGCCTTTGCTCATAATGTTAGGTTAATTGCTTTTTGATTTGGTCAAACTTTTGTAAACATTTACAATTTTAATGTAATTAATCTACCTTTCGTCTTGTTTAAGAATTCTTTCCTTATCCCAAAGTCATAAAATTTATTAGATGAAAATACAAGACTCAATTTCAACTTTGCTTTTGGCTTTTTGATTCACAAAGAACATATTTTTGTTGATGATTTGAAGTCGAGACGTGATGGTGGTTTATTCTGGATGGTGAGCCACTGACGGCATCGTCTGCCTTTCCCCTAGGATGCTGTCTACCGTCTTCACTAACCTCTTCTACAGRTGGTCGCAACTTGATTCCAAGGACTTGGAACCGTACCTCTGACACAAGAGTACTCAACATTAGCCTGTCAAGGGACTTCTGAAGTCATGGTCTAGGGTACCCTCCAAGTCCCTTTGGGAACATTTCTGGGAGCCCTTCCCTGACCACATTCTCCATGAGTCATGTTCCTGCCGACCAATGCCCTGGTGGTGCAGCAGAGAGAACAGAGCTGCCACATCTGTTATTATGTACCAGATGATTTTTGTAACACAAGTGTCTTTAAAAAACAGCTTTATTGAGGTATAATTGATATAGAGAAAACTGGTATCTTTTGTATTTTGATAATGGACAACAGGTATATAAAATGATGCTCCATGTTACTAATTATCAGGGAAATGCAAATCAGAGTCACAATGAGATATCATCTCACACCTGTTAAGGTGTTCCTTACTCGTGAAGCTCCTGCCTGGCTGTAACTCTCAGAGGAATTGTCTCTTTTTTCATTTTTATCCCCCAAATCCAGCATAGTGCTCATATGTCAATAATTGTTCTAGAAGTTTTTTTTTTCTATATCTGTCTTAAATATGATTTCAAAAGGGCTCTAGGGGTAATGGGAAATGAAACAAAGAAAATTAAAGTACATTTTAAATTCCCYTTTTCCATACTCAGTTCCAGAGAATAATAGAATATTTAATTACATATTTGCTTTCACTTAAGTTAGCTCAGCTATATATCACAGCTGCTCAAAAGAAGTAAATATGCTTAGCTAGAACAAATATTACCAAGGATAAAAAGAGATAAACAAATATAATGCTAATCATATACAACCTAGGCTATCATAAAACGTGCACTGCATGGTACACATATGTATGATATGAGCTCTATTTGCCAATGGGGAAATTTGATTATTCTATAGTAATTAGCCCAGATTTAATTAATTACAACTATGATGCAGTTATTCTCTCTTTTATACCCACATCAAGAAGGGAAGTTTTCTATGAAATAAATTGAGGGAAATTTATAATTTCCTGGTTGAGGACTTTTCAAAGCCATTGGGAGATTCATTAAAATATTTAATGTTGGCCTTACCACACAAACTCTCAGTGGTAATTGTCACAATGGAAACACACAGAATCATAGGAAACCGGTTGAGATTTGACTTATTTATTTGCACACTTGTTGCCTGGAATCACTTATTCACACCTTTGTTTCCAACTCCACAGTAGTGCCTCCCAAAGAACACACATGTGGTATGCAAATCAGTGCTGCGACAGTTCTTCACCAAGGTGACAGAGAGAAAGGTTCAGAATGGGGATTATTTAGTCTGAAAGAAACAGCAACTGCACCGATGCTGTACTCAGACACAGCCTCAATCCTACTGCTCTCCTGAGGCTGAGTATCAAGTGGCTCTTCACACTGAAAATGAGTCAGGGTTGAAGAGGGTTAAATACTGGAATGTGGACATGCCAAGCCCATATATTGAATTTCCAATAACCAATAAAGCAGGCAAAATGAACAGAATCACCTATGAGAACCTTGGCTCCAGTCACAACTATATCACTGTAAGATTTTGGCCAAGGAAGGACAATTTCCTCAATTATAAAACGTGTTAGGAATATCTGCCCTGTCTTCCTTATAGAACTGTCTGTTGTCAGAATTAAACACAGTTACAATTTGACAGCCTCCCTGAGTGGTCCCTCTGGGTCTGCCACAGGAYCTGGAGGTATGTTTTCTTCCAGGGAACTGGGCAAAGACAGCATGGGGAGGCACCGAGCCCCGGCCACTTCTGCCCATGTGATGCTCTGCCTTATAGGCAGCCTTTGGCATGGGTCGCGCCATGGCTGGCCAAGAGTCCCTGAGCGGCTGCTCAGTCTTGCTCTGTTTCTCCTGCTCTTGCTCTCTCCCTCTCTGCCTCCTCAGCAGCAGCCACAGGGGTCTCCCTGTCTCTCTGTTCTGCGCTTCACGAACCTCCCCAGGGAGCTTCCTCATTGCAGGTTCCTGATGGAGCTCRGACACATCACTTCCAGGCCCTCATAAGGGTGAGCACCTGAGTTAGTGTCTGGGTGGATGCCGAGCTCTTCCCAGAGAGCTCTTTGCCTACTGTTTAGGGAAGAGGCTTCCCTGGACATTGCTTTCACAAGATTCTATTGCCTTTGAGTCCCATTTGGTTTTACTTCTGCATTAGAGCTCCCGTCACATAAACACCGCATGAAGTTTACATTTACACTTTGAGGTCATGGTGTTCCCTTGATTTCAAAGTACCTTTTTAAAAACTTACTTCACTTCAAGAATTTATTTGTTTTAAGGTAACTCTGTATTTAAAATTTTTTTCCCTTTTATGGACTATTTTTTTTTTTTTTTGTACCAGGGATTGAACCCTGAGCCACATCCCCAGGGTCTTTTTTAATTTTTGAGACAGGGTCTCACTAAAGTTGCTTAGGACTTTGCTAAGTTGCTAAAGGCTGGTTTTTGAACTTGTGATCCACCTGCCTGAGCCTCTGGAGCCACTGGGATTACAGGTGTGCTCCACTACAACCCACTGGGCTCATTCTTATACTGAGGGAGATCAATAACTTCTTTGAACCTTCACTCCCTTATCTGTGTTGCAAAACAGGAATCACATTAAATCCGGTTTGTCTTGAGAGGAGACAATGTCTTGATATGCAATGTCACTGCAAGAATCAGCACTAATTTGAGAACAGTAATTCCGTATCTTTGAACCATACTTGTTTAAAAACATTTTTTTTTTAACTCAGATATATGCTCACCTTAAGGTTGGAATGGGATGTGGTCTGAGCTCCTTACTATGAATTTACTAGTTCTATTTGTCTCAGAGTTATGGTAAACAGAGCCTGCTAGGCACTGGCCCTGTGGACATTTCACACCATAGTCAAAATGTTTGCAGTTTCTGTCCTTCAGCTGATAATCACAAGTGCTCTTGTTTCTCATAGCAGATTTTATCCCTATAAAAGAATTTTCTGGATTAACAATAAAGTAGAACTAACATTCCCCAACGTTTTTAGCATAAAGAATTGTCTGAACATTGTAAATGTGCAAACCCCAAGCAATTCTGAGACAAAAGCCAGCTCAGCGCCTTGTGGAGAGGCAGGTTTGGGAACCTCATTTCATCTAGTCATGCTCCRGCCAGCTGCAAGTCTTTAAGGAATACCTTCTTGCAGCCTTTGCTGCAACATGAGCATAATACCCTGTTGATAGTTTTTTATTGTTGTTGTTGTTGTTTAGGAAATACTTGTAGGAGCCTGGTTTTTATCCTTGCATGTTATACATATTTCTGTTTCAACTTTCAAAATCATGTTTGATCTTTCCAATTTCCACCCATCATAGAACGTTTACTTTTTTTTTTTTTACAAAGTCAAAGAAGTCATCTCTAAATACACAAAAAAATAAWCTTTTGAGATAAATGCAAAACGACACACACATTGACTTCAATGAACAAGGAGGAAGCAAGGACCAGGCTAGCCAGGCGGGAAGTGTCCAGGGAGGGTTAGTGGCTGGGTGAGGTAGCATTGCTCTCTGTGGAYTCCGGTTTTATCTTTGCCATCGATGAGTGTAATAGGAAAATACTGGTAGTATTCAATGATGTCTTCCACGGAATCAAACTTCTGCAACACACAAAGGAGAGGTAATGGTTTTTAACATTTTTGTGTCTGGTTACACTGTAGCTAAGGTGTTCTCTTTTATTCAGGGACCTCGTCTCACAATTTTCATATATAAAGAGAGGTTAGAGTGATTTTTTTTTTTTTAAGGATTTGGCAAAGAAGGTCTTGAAGGGTGATTGGTAAGGATGAGCAGGTGAGAGGAGGTGACAAAGGTGTTCGCAGGGACCCCAGTGAGCCCAAACAGCTCTTCATGTCTCCTCCCACAGAGCCTTTCCTGGACTCAGACCCGCTGACCAAGGACCACCCTCCTGTCGCAGCCTTCCCAGGCGGAARGACTCAGGTGGGCGGATGATGTAGCAAGTATCATGGCGCCTCTGCTGCCTCCTAGCCTCGCCCCTACCTGGGCCCAGCCAGAAGGGAGGACATGGCTGGAGCCCAGGAAAGGATGGGAAGTGCTTCTGATGCTTTCCTTCCTGCCAGCCCTCTTGTCCTCAGGAGTTGTAGTTAGCACAGACGARTGGTGACAACTACGGGGCCACTGGTCCTTGGCCAGTCTGGCTGTCCTCCCTGGGCTTCTTATGAAACAGGGAGGTGACTGCAGAGTTCAGTTTCCAGAGATACAAAGTGCTGTAGCAGTGCAATGGGAAGTAAGGTTATTTCATGTTTTGGGGAACCAGGAGGTGTTTTGTTCAGAGTACAGACTTGAAAGGGGCTTTGCGTGATCAGTGATCCTAAATAAGTCACAGCAAAGGTATTGAGACATGAAAAACAGGCATACAGAGCCCAGTCAAGGTCAGGTGCTGGGAAGACTTGTGCAGAACTATGCAGACATTCTGACAGGTGGGTTTGGACGAGTTCCTGAGGGCAACATTTGAAGGTARTTGGGAAGACTTGTTCTCTCTGCCTCCACCCAATCGTCCTCTGCAAGCCCCTGAGGTGAGCAGAGCAGGTGGAATGATCTTTCCTGAAGAGCTAAGGGGATTACAGCTSGGAGAATATATTCTTCCTCATACAGAATATATTGACTTATATACAGAATATATTGACTTCCTCAGAGTCACACAGCTGGGGGGCCAGGGCAGGAATGGAGCTTCATTCTCCTGGGAACAGGACAGAACTCATATGTTGAAATCCTCACCCCCAACGTGATGGTATTAAGAAGTGAGGCTTTGGGGAAGTGATTAGGTCATGAGTATGGCACCCTCATGAATGGGGTTCATGTCCTTACTATAGAGATCCCAGAGAGACCTTTCCATCATGTGAGATCGGTGTGAAAAGGCACCATCTATGAACTAGGACGTAAGTCCTCGGCAGACACTGAATCTACCTTGATCTTAGACTTCCCAGACTCTGGAACTGGGAGAAAGAAGTTTTTGTTGTTTGTAAGYTACCAGTTCCATAGGATTTTATTATAGCATCCCAAACAGACTGAGACAAGCTGAGACATAGGTTACCTGGTTGAAAACCCTGCCTCAGACAYTGTCAAAGCCTGAGAGGGTGCAAGATACTTAGACTTAATTTCTGTTTTCTCTTTTCYTTAGGCTTGCCCTCAAATAATGAACTCAATAATAATCGTTTTAATGATCTACTAAATGGATAATATTTTATACAGCATCATAATTATAATAAGTAGCAGGAAGCAAGGCAGGTACAGTTAATCAGGTTGTCATTTATTATTGACTTCTAGTGACATGCCCACAACTGAAATGTTGCCCCCAAAGAGATTTTTAGAAAAGGTTATAATTATTACTTTTATATGAAATCATTATTTTTTCAGTGGGACAGTAAATGACATCTTAATATTAGATATTGTTTCTTTTTTTACTAGTTGAGGATCAGGGTGATTTACCACTGAGCAACATCCCCAGTACTTTTTAGATTTAAAATTTTTTTTTTTAATATTTGTTTTTTAGTTTTAGGTGGACACAATATCTTCATTCTATTTTTATGTGGTGCTGAGACTGACCTCAATCTTGTGATCCTCCTGCCTCTGCCTCCTGAGTTGTTGGGATTACAGGCACATGCCTGTAATATTTATTAAGCCACGCATGGTTTAATATTGGACCTTAAAGTTTAGCTCTGTTGTGTTTATCTTTTGTATTGTGTTTATCATACATGTTTCATTTTTATCTTGCTAAAAAAGTCAGGTACTCACATGGAAATAAAAGGAGGAGGGTGTCAGTGGTGGGGGAAAGGCCAAGAGAGATGAGGTGAAATAAAATGATAGGAGTAGTGAGAAATAAACCCATGGTTCATTGTTCATCTTAGTCTTTAAAATTTAATTTATCAAGTAAACATTGAATTTTCAGAAACTTGTAATCACTTGCCGAGGGACCAGTAATTGAAATCGCTSCCTTCTTTCATCTTTCCCAGAATGCCGACTAACAGGACTTTTAAAGCTYAGATAAGGGTTGGCGTTCAGCAGCAGGTAAAGCTCCACAGGTTGCTTAGGGCAGGTGCCTCCCTGGCTGGCCGGGACAGGTACTGAGCCAGTCTCACTGTTGCTTAGGTGCCTGCATAGGTAGGCACAGGTGAACACGGTGTCCCKGGGCGGCAGGGACTCTACCTTTCTCTAGTCTGTTCCCAGGATGGAGCACTGAGACTAGCAAGGWGCAGGCATAAAATTAATGTTTGGCCAATAGATAAGAAAATGGGTAGAGTGGGCCAAGTGGCGCCCCCCTTCCCGTGTCCATGTCCTTGTCCCAGAATTGATGGCAATCACCTTTCATGTTCACAGGGCTAATCTAATTTTATACGGGTAAAACCAGTATTAAATTAAGAATCTTTTGAGGAGGAGCTCATCCTAGRTTGTCTGGGGCCCCGGATGCAAACCTGTGTTTCCTGAAGTGGTGGGAGACTTTAGCGGGAGCAGAGCCRTCAGTGTGAACACAGGCAGAGACTGGGAGGGCGGGGCCACAAGCCACGGAAGCCCATGATGGCACAGTTGCCAGCAGTTGCAGGGTTGAGGAAGGAGCCCACCCTGGAGCCTCTGGAGGGATCACCTCCCCATTGATGCCTTGATTTTCTCTAGCCTCCAGAATGGAGAGAGATTTCTCTTGTTTCAAGCCACCCAGATTGTGATAATTTACAATAGTACCCTTGGAAAACCAACACCACAGATGATCACGAAATCTGAATTCAGGAATGAATTTATAGGCATCCGGGTAATTACATGACCCATGTTTCTTAATACATAACAAAGTGGAGTGGCTCAGGAGTTTGAATTGGGTACCTATGGGATTTGCACGCCCTTCGTGCTATTGAGGGGTGCCGACGGACAGAGCCTTTCTGGGGCCTGATCAGACTTCTCCTGCAGCCCTATGGTCCTTGCCTACGCCTGGGGCACACAGCCCTAAGGAAATGCTTTCAGGGATCACACAAGGTGGACTRGATGATGCTTATTAAGCACCTGCCTCTACATGCCTGACATGAGTTCGGTTCTGCTGGAGCTTGGGGACAGCTACAAAGCATGTGAACTAGTAACTGTCTTGAATACCCTTTTCTCATTATGCATTTCCTGCAGAGGTGGTGACAGTGCCATCTGAACACAGATGCAGGAACCTGCAGATGTCTTGCACTTAGCAGAGCCTTGCTACACCACATTCCTCCATYTATCTTTCCTTGAAGATGTGAGCTTCTTCTCTAGCAAGGCCAAGGCTCAGATTGAAAGGGCCAGGGGACAGCTTCTCTCAAGGAGGATAATTGCAGTTCTCACCCAACGTCCAGCAGACAGTGAGCGCCATGCAAGTGTTAACTAACTATCCTTAACTTACTTGTTCTGGGCTGTTTTCAAATGGGTAGGTCTTGATGTTATCTGTGACCTTATGAAGAAGCCATTTTTTTTCGATTATATTGACTCCCATTGTTACTGTTTATTAGCCATGACCTTGAACCAGTTACTTAACATTTCTGTGCTTTGGTTTCACCATCTGTTAAATGGACGTGTCAGCTGCACCTGGATCGAAGGGTGCTCTAAAGACTCTGTGGATCAAGTTAGTTAATGGTTATTCACTGCTCAGAGTGGTGCCAATGCAGAGCAAATGCAAGGAGGAGGTCAGCAAATACATGAAAAGGAAACCCATGTTTAGAGGACACAAAGGAGAGAAAATTATGGGTTCATCAAAAAGGGTTTTTTTAAAATAGGCATTGGGTTCCTAAGGGTCCTTGGTGGCCATAATTGGAGTAGCTCCATGACATCCACATGATATCCACATCCTGTATTCTCTAAGGAAGAGGAGCCTTTTAGCCCAAGCATTTATAAATCATAGAATGCTTTTCTTAAAAATGAGAAATTTCTATGGGCTGGAAGAGATGTAGAAGGATAAAGAGAATCGGAGCTGGCAAGTCCATGCACAATCAGTGTTCATCAGAGAGGGGTGATATTCTAGTTATTAAAAGAACTCATTAAAAATAATGAACATATAGTAACTAACATTTGTGGTRAGTCCCTGCACTGTTGGGTGTTTGGCCTTCATCCACTGGCCAGTCCTCACCACAYGGTGAGAACTAGCCTCTCGTCTCTTGGTTTTGAAGCAGGCGTTCTCGCCGTGGCTGGGTGTGGTGGGCACGTGCACTGGTCTGCTCACTCACCATGCGCTCACTCAGGGCGCCGGGGAGGCAGCATCCTCCAGACTCTACCTGTATTTGCTGCTGCCAGCCTGGGCAAGGGCCCCAGGTCGGTTGCACGCACCTCATCTCCTCGGAGCCCGGTCCCCAGTGCGAACTGCTGACTCTTCTCCAGGAAGCGGATTTTCACATTGTAGACTTTGTTCCCATAAAACACCACCAGAACATAGGGCTCTGCCTTGGATTTTGTGGAATGGTCTCGGACCAAGAAAGTACCATCCTGAAGCAAAAGGAATAATGGTCATCTCTCCAGGTACACCAGTGTCCTGCCCGTGTAATGACAACAAGGAATGTTCCTGAGGGTTAGATTCCCCTATGGGTTTAGTTTTGGGCAAAACCGTTGTTTATGGAGTTTAATGCAGTATGTTTTTATTGAGCAGACGGCCCTCCCGGCCCTCCCACATGCTGTCCTCGCCTCTGTCACCAACCTCCTGTTTCCGGTTCTGCCTGCTGCTGGGGGCTGAGAGAGAGTCAAGCCAACATCAGCTGAGAGGGGAAGATTTTAACCTAAGTAATCAGCCTTGGAGATGGCAGTGAGGACCAGGGTCCCCCATGGAAGCAGGGGGCTCTGAGCAGCTGAATACAGAATGAGTGGAGAGACCTGGGAGAGGATGGGATCCACCTGGGTGAGGCGGAGGCAAAGTCAGGGCAAGGAAGGAAATCTGCCCAGAGAAGAAGGAAAACCAGGAGCTTTGGGGTCCCCCAAGCATGGTAGAAAGAGAGGGTTTCCAGAAGGTGAACAGGATCAAGGGGTCCAAGGGCTGAGACCCGGCCATGGGTCACAGTGATCAGGCACACTCCAGGGACAAGCTCAGGAAGATGGTCCGGGGGTGAAAGGCTGAGGAAGGGAGCCGTCCTCCTGAACCCGGGCCCCCTTGGTGGTTATCTTGCATCATTTACATGGTGGGAAGGCTGCAGCTGATTGTATGGATGGCTGTGTAGAGGGGTGTAAATGACTGAAGATAAATATTTTAGAAGATAAATAGGTTTTTATATACAATAATTACTTTATGTGTCTCTCTATAAGATGTTAAGGTCTGTAAACAAGTCAAAAATAACACCTGGTATTTTGCCAGAGAAATGTTAGAGTTCGTAAACAARTCTGGATGGTGCCTGGCAAAATGTCAGAGGGAGTGGTTTGAAAAGTAACAAAATCGAGCCATTAAGTTTGGAGATGCCTTATTGGTTGATTGATGTATCTAGTTTATGCTAATTAAGCTGTGCAAAAGGTATAAATAGCTCTGTTGTCCTACAATAAACGGCTCCTATTCCTGCTGCATCAATCTACAGAAGTTATTCGTCACCCCCCGGTTATTTTGCTGCAGCCGGACCTCGGCAATAAGATATATAGACATGGGTTATATATAGTATTGTGTCTTCATATAGGTTATATATATAATATCTCTATAGGTATGGATTGTATGTAGTATTTTGTCTATATAGGCTGCATATGATATCTGTAATAGCTATATAATATCTCTTCATAGGCCTGTGTTGTATATAGTATTTATATATAATTATCTATAATTGAAATTCATAGTTATAGATGTTAATATATGTCATAATGGTAAAAGTACGATACAGTGCTCTACATGCCACAAATACATTAAATTTATAGAGGCCTATTACGCTACACGGCAGGCAGCTAAGGCTTACTGAGTAGCTCTTGAGGTGCCCAGCCCTTCACATACACTTCTTCATCTTTACATTAACTTTGAGGGACAGGTATTTTAATGTCACTTTAGAAGGTAAAGGGAATTGAGGCCTAAGAGCTTAAGTGAACTTCCTAAAGCATCAGTCAGTCAATAGAAAACCTAAAAGTCTAACCCAGATTCTTGCTCTTTACATACTCCAGGCTCCCAGCACATAAAGTGTGATTGAGGAATTTTTCTGGAACTTGTTCTGCATAAAGCACTCATCCATAATTGAAACCTTAATACTCCAGCACAGAGCATTGCCAAAGATCAGACACGGGGAGGGGGCCAAGGCTCCCGGCCAAGTTATGGGTTTATCATCTTAAACTCTACATTGAATTTGTCAAAAGAAATCTGGGCAATCCCTCAGCTTAAATTAAATTATCTTCCATAAATCGGAAACACATTTTGACACGACTGAAACAAACAGAAAAGGAAACTATGCTAAGGAAATCATGAAGTCATTCATCTCAGATTGTTTCTTCCCTCCATGCTTCTTGGGAAGAAGCAGAGGCAGGCGCAAAGGGGAGGGATGGCCGCTTACTGCGTGTCCAAGTGAAACATTGTCAGAGGGGCATCTGGTGACGTGCACGTTGCTTTTCTAGCATGGTCCACACCTGGGCTCCACGTGCAGGTCCTCCAAGGGCATTTGGCACTGACCAGCCAAGGAGGGAGCCCACGCTGGAGTCTACCTTCCCTGTCCTTGCCACTCTACCCAGCAGAGGCCAGCACAGCCTGTTTAGTGGAAGGGGAGGTCCTTGAGCTGGGCGTCACCCAGGCACTGTGGCTCCCCATCCAGCTGTGAAGACTGCAGGATTAGTGAGAAGGACACTGATCTTGAATACAGGTTCTGCCACTTCTTCCTTTGTGACACAGCCCTTGGCTTAGCCTCTGTCTCCTCATCCAGGAAACAGGATAGTTCCATTTATTCCTGATATGCTCAGAATACTTTACTGGCACCTCTGTTAAAACACAAGTATGTTCTCTAACAGCTCTGGAAGTCTGGAGCCTAACGTGGATCTCCGTGGCTTGAAGCAATAGGGAAAATCCTATTCCACCACCTTTTCAGTTTCTAAAGGCAGCTAGAATTCCCAGCTCACGGCTCCCCATCAGTGAGACCTAGACTTCTATCACCAGATCTCCTCTCTGACCCTGCTCCCTCTTATAAAGACCCTGGTGATGATTCTGGGCCCAGTTAGTTAGCCCAGGATGACCACTTCACATCAAGATCCCCAACTTAATCTCATCCGCAAAGTCCTGTTTTCCATATAAAGTGACATTCACAGTTTCTAGAGATTAGGAGGTGGACATCTTGGGGTGGGCCATGATTGTGTTTATCATAGAAATATATATAACTTATTGATTGATTTACCAATTCTGAGAATGATGTTTTATTAAAATTTATTGGAGACCCGTCATATTTATTCAGTGATTAACTGACTATATTTTTTTTCCTTACTCAATAATGACCACTGAACCGGTTAGTTGAGGATAGGTTTTGATGTTGAATTAGTCTTGATAAACTTTATATCACTTTTAAGCCACCTACTATGTTCTCTGCACATAGTAGTTGCATGATAACTATTTGCTTTGTGAGGGTGGTTATGGTAGTCATTTGATCTGATTGCAGATATTCTAGTTCTTTTCTTTTTGGCTACATGGTAGGTTTGTACTTCCCCATCCTCTTTGAGGTTAGGTTTGATCATGTGAATTTGGTCAATGATATGTGAGCAGAGGTGAAGTCATTCCTTTGGAGAGGAAGTGCAAAGATCTAGAATGTAAAGGTGGAGGCACACCCTGGAGACGGCATGGCCAGCAGCCGGATCTACCTGAACAGACCTGTCTTAAACGTGGAGTGCAAAGGAGAAATGATATTTGGTTATGTTAAATGACTGAGACCCCGGGATAGTGTGTTACTGCAGCCTAACCTGTCACGTGCTGACATGCAGCATTCATGGTCCCYGTTGCTTTCCGGAAGAAGTGAAACATAAAGACCCGATGTGCCTTAGGCAGACCTTGAGCAAGGAGATGGGACTTGAGGAATCCAGGAGGAACCTTCCAGTGTTTCCACATTTGATCTCCAAACTTCCTTGAGGTCGATTTTAGTATTTTTCAGTTTATAAATAAAAAAAAAAAATCTACAGGTAAGGCTATTTAGGAACTCGAGAAAGTCACATAGCTGGAAAGTGGCAAAACCAAGTTGTAGATCTGAAACTGTCCCCTTTTAAATCCCCTTTCCAATGGCCACCTCCCAACACTGAAACGTGCAGGGTGATGCAGGAACTGTGCTGCTTGTCACAGCCTGTGACCTAGAGCAGAAAAGCATAAGGCCACTGTGTCACCAGTGAGGGCCCCCGCAGAATGTGTTACCTTGTTCTCCTTCATTAACGCCTCTTCTACGGCCTGGCGACTGTACTGTCCAACGTACCACTCGTTGTGCCGGACTTCCTGCAGGACAGGTTCCAGGAAGGACATGTTAGGGAGCACCAAAGGGGGGGTTCTACCTACCAGTGAGTCACTCTAATTGTATTTTGTTCTACCAGTGCCCAGTTACAGGTGACTGTGTAGTAGAAATCCAGCACATGGAATCCTGTCCTTGAACCTGGAGATGCCCACAGCTGCTTGGAGAAAAAAGACGCAGAAAAAAATAACCTCAGCTGGGGATTCCGAGGTTGACAGGAGGGAGAGATGCTTGTCTTTGGGAGTCAGTGGAGAGAGTCTCTGGCTCTGCCCTCAGTGTGGATAATAGACCCTCCGTCTCTCAGGCTTCGAGACCCTGCTGAAGCTGATTGGGGGATGGCCCAGCTCTCCTGGCCATCACGAAGGCAGCAAGGCGGGAGAGGGGTGTGGATGGAGTGTCTTATGCCACTTGCCTGCAGCCACAGGGTGGGGCTGAGATTTTCTCCTTATCCCACACTGCTTAATTTACATCACTGATAAGTGGTTTTAGAGTCTTTTGATGATGAAATCCCCCCACAACAAGGTGAAGGAAGGACAATTGGAAAGACATGCCAGGGACCTGCAATTCTGTCAGAGAATGCCAAGGATCAAAAAATTGGGTGACCCCTCTACAAGGCCCTTGTTATTTAGGGTCCCAGGCCATCCCCACACTATTGGTAGTGTTGGCGTTAGGAGAGGGACGGTGGAGGCTCAGGAAGTCAAAACCTGCCACGTGGCTGGTAAGACTTAAGGACACAACCCTGGGTCTTTGGTGACTTGGTTGGAGTCTGGCCCTCCCAGTAAACCCAATCCATCGATGGTGAGCACACCTGGAGGGCATCAGCAGGCCTGCACAAGCGCCCACCTGCCGCTTCCTTTCCTTCCACCATCTCAGGATGTGAGTCTAGCAGCCAGATGAACTTACTGTTCCTAGAAACCCAGCTTTAGACCTGTGCCCAGAACCTCTCCTGTTCTCACTTGCTGTTACCCAGCTTGTCCATTCTCTTCCATCAAGATTGGGACCCACAGTCACCTCTTACTTGAGGCCTCCTTTGTATTACATAACTTCACCTTGTCCACAGCCCCAGGGAGAGTRGGTGCTGGGAGAGTCCAGAAGAGAACCCAGTATGCTCTCTCTCTCAAAACCATGTGATAGGTTCCCGGCACGAGGCGGCTTGGGACCCTACCTCCTGCTGCAGTGTGAGCTGTCTGGAGTCTGGGGTGCTCTTGGCCAGCCTGGGGCTTGGCAGGGCTCCTTCATGGTGCACTTTTATTTGTGCTGATTTATTTGTTCAAGTTGGAGGATGTGTAGAATTTTCTAGGCCTGTGTGTCTCCAGGTGTGGTCGGGAGGGGCCTGAGGTGCGGGCATTGCTCCACTTGGCATTAGGTGGCTCTGAGCCGCCTGGGGTAGCAGCAGTGTTGCCCTTCAGTTCTCTTTCTAGACTTCTGAGTAATTCAAGAGCAACATTTCATTTTTGTGCATTTCTTTAATATCTGTGACATTTTTAATCTCTCCTTTAACACAAGAGAAACTCTTTTGCTGATAGCCACTGGCAGGCTAGAGATCCTGCTATGATTTCATTGCCCGCTTTTGTTTCTGTTGCAATGAATTTTTAAAATAAGTTGTGGTAAAATAATGTAAGAATTTGCCATTTAAGTGACAATTCAAAGGCATTAACTACACTTACTTCCAAACCATTGTCACGTTATGCATCTCCAAGACTCTTTCATTCTCTGCAAGTTAAACTGCACCCATTAACAACAGCTATGACCCTTACCTCTTCAGTCCTTTGGCCTCTATGAGTTTGATTTCTCTAGGTCCCTCGTATAGAGGAAGCACACTTTGTCCTTCTGTGTCTGTCGAATTTCACTCACACACTGTTTTCAAAGTTGATTCACGTTGTACCACGTGTCAGAACTTCATTCCTTATTGGAGCTGAATAATTTGTGTGTGTGTGTGTGTGTGTGTGTGTGTGTGTGTGTGTGCATGCATCATTTTGCTTATCCATTCATCTGTCAATGGACATTTAGGTTCTTTACATCTGCTAGCTATTATCAATAGTTTCATTATGAACATGAGTGTACGCATATCTATATGACTGCTTTCAATCCTTTTGGGGGAAATACTGGGGAGTAGAATTAGTTTTAAGATTGCTTTCTATCCATGGCATGGAATACAATTTAAAAAAAAATTTTTTTAGAGTAGTGATTCAAAAGGAAAACAGTCTACTTAAAGTAGATTATTAAGTAAATACCATGGTTGGCAGTAAATAATTGAAAGCAGGGAACATACTGTTCTAGTCTGAGCCTCTCTTCTGCCCATAAGGAACCCCCATAGGCTTGACCTTGGGTGAGATCCAGTTAGAACCCAGGATCCCATGCTTACAGGAATGGCAGAGTGAAAGGYGTCCAGGTACAGGGGAAGGTCAATGGAAGATGTGAGGGCAGTGATTTCCCTGAGTCTAAATTAAGAGTAAAAGACAACTTTTAGAATCAGATTGGAATTAATGTTAAGTATAAGAACAACAAAGGCCTTTGAGATGGTGCAGGGATTATGAGGAGTGGACCAGAGGTGCCCGCATGCTCTGCTTCTGCCTACCATCCTTGGCAAATTGGTGAACGATACAGGGGCATGAGATGCACACCAGACAAAGTGCATCCGTCCATGCTGCATGGACAACCTGTGATGAGTGACGTCACAGGTGAGGAGAGAAGGGCACATGGCTATAAAGCAAGCTCTTCCTCCACACAGCTGAGTGCAGAGTGGTCCCAGAGGGAGTAGATCGAATGAGTGGAGTTGGTTTTACAGCCAGAACAGGAAAGAGATGAAAGACAGAACTTTGCCATCTCTCCCCTCTGTAGGTCTCTTCTGGGACAGGGACCATAGCCTCCAGCACACTGTTTGGCACATAAGTGCCCAGGAAATGTTCATTGGACTGGTCAGTGAAGTGAGTGTGTGATATGTGAATATTTCGTTGGAGAAAGAATTGCCATWTGCAAATCCTAGTTAAATCCCCACAAGATTATTTAACCTCCACGAGTCCAATCATCTCTATTTTATGGATTAATGAACAAAAATAGTTGAGAATCTGGAAACACACAGCTTGAAGAAACTGATGAAACAATAGTACAGAAAGTACTTTTAGAAATGTTGAACTCCAAATATGTAGCCATAAAGGAAACAAATCAACACTAATCACAATAACCCCCTCGTGGCCTTTGCCCGCTGAAGCTCTCTTCAGATGCAACTTACACCCAGAAGACCTGGTGAAGAAGTGTCTAGCTTACCTTCTCATCAGATGGGGCTGGAAAAGGTTCTCTCCGGCTTGTGTCTGGATGGGGCAGTGTGTTTCCAGGAGGGCCGTGGCTGGCAGGGGACTGGCATCTCTGGGCAGAGCAGGCCTGCATGCTGCCCTCACCATCTGGGAAGAGAGAAGTCACTGTTGAGTGTGACGGCATTACCAGCTCAGCCTGCCTCCCCTGCACGAGGCAAGGACCCTCCCGCTGCCCATCTGTGGCCACTGTCCTGGCTGCACCCACCTCCTCTCCTCGAGGGCTGCCCCCTCTGCACTTTTTCTTGCTTCAGCTTTCACCTCTTCTCCTCTCTCTACAGGGCACCCGGAGTAATCTTTTAAAAATKTCATTCTGACTTTGCCACTTCCTGTTTCAAAATCCTCCCATGATTCCCTTCCTCCCTGGAACAAGAGCAAAACTTCTTCCTTGTGTTCTAAAGCTCTCTCCATCCTCACCCTCCTCCACATCGCCCGCTCTGTTCTGGCCGTAATGAACTCTGTTCAGTTTCTTAAACATGCCAAGCTCATTCACAACTCAGGAAATACCATTTAAAAAAATTAAAATAATAACTTTTCAAAAAAAAAATGAAACACCACTTTTTAAACTCGAACGAATGACTGATAGGCACACCTTGGCTATTCAAACTTCAGTAGTTGGCAAGTACTTTTTTAAAAATGAAGAAAGTGAACTTATCACTTCATGGGAAGAAGGGGCAGCATTTGTTGCTAATCATAAAKTTAGACTTTGCAAGTGCAGATTGGAATCAGGGAAAGCTTGCTTCTGCCTCTGTGACGTAAGAGCATCCCATCAGACTTTTCTGGTGAGATGGGTGGTGTCACTTGCAAAAGTGTAACTTTAAAAGTATTATCACRTGTTGTTATGGTTTGGGTCTTAAATGTCTTCCAAAGCCCAGGTGTTGGAGGCTTGGTCCCTAGGGCATGAGGCAATTGGGAGGTAGTTGAAACTTGGGGAGCTGCAGCCTAATTGGAGGAAGTTGGGTGATTGGGGGTGCCTTGAAGGGAGTGCTGGGACCCAGATCCTTCCTCTCTCTCAGCTCCCTGACCACTGTGAGCTGAGAAGCCTGCTCTACCACACACACTCCTCATGACATACAGGCCCAAAGTGTTGGGGCCAAGTGACTGTGGACTGAGATCTCTGAAACCATAAGTCAAAGCAAACCTTTTCCATGTATGAAGTGGTTTATCTTGGGTATTTGTCATAGTCACAGAAATGAAACACACATACTGCTAACACTGGAAGATTTCTTGTTACCTGCGAACTATTATTCTTTAAGTACCAATGTATGGATGCTGTGAAAGCACTCCTAGGTGAAGGTTAATTCAAACGCTCAATAGACAAGTACATTTTAAAGTAGTCAATGGAAAAAAGATCATTGATATAGTAGGATATCCCCTAGAACTTAAATTTAAKATACTACCACACTTGCCAAGTTTTGATATGCCATTTTCTCCATATACTTCAACCAAAATAATATTTCCATTGTATGTCCTTCCAGTAAACACAAATTAAAGATGAAATTCCTTGAATTGAGATCACAGGATGGAGTGAGGTACAAGGAGGAATAACCAGACATTTGTAACTGCTAGTAATTCTAAGTGAGGAATATCTGTTYAGAAATCACGAGACTTTGAAAGTTTTAAAAATATGKGAATAAAATATGTATGTAAAATACTGGACCAAATAACATACAATTGAAGAAAGGMGATCAATGCAAGAACAATTACAAGCATTACAGTCTTAATATGGTCTAAAAATATAACCAAAATTACAGTCCTGGTTAATAGATTAACAAGAACTTTGAAAGAATGGGCTACTTTCAACCCAATGAATTTTTGAGATGAAATACTAAATAAAACATCAGCAAATGTTTATAAGCCAGTTACCATAACATTTAGGATGTATCTGTATTAACTCTGCTTCTTGAACCAACGGAGCATGTATTCGGCTACAAGTAAGCCAACTTTCCTTCTAAGATGTCTAAGAAGAGCAAATACTACTCCTGATATCTAGACAGTTCCATCTTGGTGGTACTATTGACTGTGGCTTTTAATGTTGAGACTAGGAGTGTTAGTTATATGAAATTATATTATCAAAATATTTGTAATAGACAACTAATCTAAATTTAATTCAATTAAATTTATCATAGTAAATTATTTTCACCTACCAATTTATGACCTCAAAAACAGGAATATGGCTAAAGAAACCCTCTCCTTCTAAATTTGTATAAGTAGTAAGGCTTTTATAAATAATAAAGCTTTGAAATGATGCAGAATCCATATTCTTAAATGCTTTCAGTTATTCGTATTATTTGAGAAGAGAATACCAGCTTCAGTTTTTTAAAACTCAAACATACTTTAACTTAAAATGTTAAAGGTAACCAATGGAAGAATAATTTGGAATATACAACTTTCAAAAAAGAGAAAGAAAAGGGGGGGTATAAAAAAGAGATGGGTCCAATATATCATAGGAAAAAAAAAACAAACTAAAAAGTCAATAAAAATAGGCTAAATAGGCACAAAATGCTATAAAATAGATCCAGAATATTCACAATCAAAATAAATACCAGAGATGCAAATTTAGCCTTTAAAAATCAGATGCGAATTGGTTTAAAAATTCCATGATGTGCTAACTGCACATGGAGTGCAATGAAACAGAGAAATCCTAAGTAAAATCATGGAGAACTAGACACCAGGCAAATCCCGACCAAGAGAATGCTAACAGCTATGCTGGCGTAGAGTAGATCAGCTCCAAAACTTTATTTTAGATTGTAGTGCAGCAGTATGCAGAGACTCGCTATTTAAATGACCATGACTGCTTTTTCAGCATGGGTTGAAGCAGTAAGAACATTCTTGAAGGTAAAACAGTCATTAACAGCATTTCCTGCCACATAGTTTGTGTTTCATTCATAACAGTTTCAGTGATTTTGAATTTTTCATGATTTTGTGGCAACTGATTTATTATTTTTCAACCCTGCAAGCCTTGCTTGAATATTTAAAGAGTCTTGCTTAACAAAGAGTGTTTGGAAACAGTTATGCACTTGTAGTCTGTTCAGAGAATGAGTTCAACAAAACAASTTTGCTGCAGAATTTTCTCCGGAAGCTCTGCTTGAGTCTTTGTTGAATGAATGAAATTCTGAGCATGTATTCAGCTACAAGTAAGGAGTCAATTTTGTTATAAAATCAGGGAAGCAGTTAAGCTTTGGAAGGTTCTTCTCACATACAGGGAACACTGCATTTGCATTTTACAACCCTATGACATAGGACTCTTAGAAAAGGAGGGTCACAGTAATGAAGAGATTGACACAATGTAAATGCAAGAATGACCTCGCAGGTGGTCAGTAACAGGCAAGGCAGGGTAGCCTATTGCAAAATCATACTGATATCAGTAATCACTAATGCATTCTTTCCTTTCTTTTTTTTGTGTTTCTTTTCTTTCATTCCTTTCTTCCTTCCCTCCCTCCCTCCCTCTTTCCTTTCTTTCTATTGGAGATGGAACCCAGGGGCGCTTAACTACTGAGCTACATCCCCAGCCTTGTTTTATATTTTATTTAGAGACAGGGTCTTGCTGAGTTGCTTAGGGCTTGCTAAGTTGCTGGGGTTGGCTTTGAACCTATGATCCTCATGCCTCAGCCTCAGATCCCTCCAAGCCACTGGGATTACAGGCATGCRCCACTGTGCCTGGCTTATTTTAAAATTCTTATGCCACTTAGTCTGTCAAAACTTATAAATCATTTTAATCAAGTACTTCACTGCCATTTACTAGAAGACTTTTTAATTTAATGTTGCGCTTTATATTGATTTTATAACCCTATATATTTTTWAAAAATTTTAATTTGTTTTAATTAGTTATACATGACAGTAGAATGCATTTATGTACTTTGATATACATAGATGGAATATAATTTCTCATTTTTTCTGAGTGTACATGCTGCAGAATCATATTGGTCATGCAGTCACATATATACATACAGTAATAATGTCTGTTCCATTCTACTATCTTTCCTATTCCCAAATCTCTTCCCTTCCCCTCCCATCACTTCCCTCTACCTAATCTAAGGTAAAGCTATTCTTCCATAGTGCCCCCCCCCCACCTTATTGTGAATTAGCTTCGGCATATTAGAGAAAACATTTGGCTTTTAGTTTTGTGGGATTGGCTTATTTCACTTAGCATGATAGTCTCCAACTCCACCCATTTACTGGCAAATGCCATAATTTTACTCTTCTTTAAAGCTGAATAATATTCCATTGAGTATAGACTCCTGAAGCTCAAGAAGTAAAATCAAACATTAATAAATGGGATGGATTCAAATTAAAAAGATTTTTCTCAGCAAAGGAAACAATTAATAAATAATTAATACAGATTGGGAGAAAACCTTTACCACATTCATCTCTGATAAAGCATTAATCTCTAGGATATATAAAGAACTCAAAAACTTAACACCATAAAAACAAATAAACCAATCAATAAATGGGCCAAGGAACTAAACAGACACTTCATGGAAGAAGAGATACAATTGATCAACAAATATATGAAAAAGTGTTCACCATCTCTAGCAATTAGAGAAATGCAAATCAAAACTACTCTAAGATTTCATCTCACTCCTGTCAGAATGGCAATTATCAAGAATACAGGCAACAATAAATATTGGTGAGGATGTGTTGAAAAGGCACACTCATACATTGTTGGTGGAACTACAAATTGGTACAACCACTATGGAAAGCAATATGGAGATTCCTCATAAAATTAGGAATGAAACCAGCATTTGACCCAGTTATCCCACTCCTCAGTTATACCTAAAGTACTTAGAATCAGCATTCTACAGTGATGCAGCCACATTAATGTTTTTGGCAACTTAATTCACAATAGCTAGACTAAGGAACCATCCTAGGTGTCCCTTAATAGATGAATGGATAAAGAAAATGTGGTATTTATACTCAATGGAATATTAATCAGCTTTAAAGAAGAGTAAAATAATATTTTTTAAAAATTAGTAAACGAAAGTGATAAACAAGCTGGGTGCAGTGGCACATGCCTGTATTCCCAGCGTCTTGAAAGGCTGAGGCAGGAGGATTGTGAGTTCAGAGCCATCTTCAGCAATAGTGAGGCGCTAAGCAACTCAGTGAGACCCTGTGTCTAAATAAAATACAAAAAAGGTCTGGGGATGTGGTTCAGTGGTCGAGTGCCCCTGAGTTCAATCCATGATACCCCCACTCCCCACAAAGTGATAAACAAAAGGGAAAACAAATCTTCCACAATTCCATCTTCAGAGAATAATACTGATACTATTTGGGGGTATACACAGGCATTCCTAGACCCTCATCCAACATGTCAAATCATTTTTTTTTTTTAATTCTGCACACTGTTGGATGGTGGGTGGGTCACTCTCTATGAAGTTTGGCTTGAACTCATTGATGAGAACAAGCATGTTTACCAGTGACTGAACTAAACTTTCCCAAATTCTTGTCCCRGGTGTAAGACAAGGAWRACAACCTCATGTCCACAGAGATGTAGATTTCACTGGTGTCTGTGAATGTCCACCCTTGAGATGTGTAAGCTGAAGCCGTGTGCTCGAGAGGCTCTGCTAGGCGGGGTGGGGAGTGTTTTCTGCACATCCAACCTTGCCAAGGACCAGTGACCCAGATGGGGTTTTTCCTCAGCAGAATGAACACACAGCGAATTGGTGGAGGAGTTTCAAATGCACTCACAGGTCAGCAGGTGGGCCTCTGTTCCGCCTCCCTAGGACCTACCCCAATATTGGATATGAATCCAGATCTGTTGACCGAAAGAGGAAACAGTGGAGGCTAAAGTGTTTCCCCTGCTCAGTCCAAACTTCCTTAAAGAACCTTGCTTCCTCTGAGATGAGATGAGAACTAGCTACAAGTTCCCAGTCCAATGATCTACCCACAGCTGGATAAGGCCAGTCCCCTCTTTAACACTACCTTTTCATTCTTGTATTGGTTCTTACTTTGTATTATGCATGATTTTATTTTATTTTATTAATTTATTTATTATTTTGGTGCTGGGGATGAACTCAGGGGTGCTCTACCACTGAGACACATCTTCAGTCCTTTCTGTTTTCTTTTGAGACAGCTAGGTTGCTGAGGCTGGCTTTGAAATTGCAATCCTCCTGCCTCAGCATCCCAAGTTGTTGGGATCATCGGCATGTGCCACCAAACCTGGCATGGTTTTTCAAGCTAAGACTCTGGATTCCTCTCTAAGTCGTGGTTCTGCTTCATTCACTGCAACCCCCATTAGGGATRCCCTTCCTGGGCCTGCTCAGTCCCTGGACTTTCCCCCAAGACGTGCCAATCTATTCATCTTATACTGTTTCTGACAGCCAATCCCTGGGATTCCCAGGGACGACTCCATTGTGTTAATCACAGCTTTCTGTAGAGTAGGGGAAATGAGTTCGTCTTGATCTTAGAATGGGAAAACGGAAGCCCAGATGGCATAGAGCAGAAGTGAAAGGAGGAGACCAGAGAGGAAGCGGGAAGTCTACTGAGGTCAGTGGTAGAGAGAAAGAAGGGAATGCAGAAAAGCAGGCAGGATCTAGAGAGGGCTGAGGGCTGTGTGTGTGTGTGTGTGTGTGTGTGTGTGTACATCACATCCACAGGAATACGAATTACCTGAACTTTATGGATGGGGAGGGTGGACTTGCTCAAAGGTAACCCACTGTAGGGAGAGAGGAAGAACTGGTCAGCAGTGCCCCTCAGCTCCCCACTGTACCCCTGGGGTGAGCTTCCTGCAGCATAACGCTGTTGTTGGAAGCGAAGAAAGAAAGGCAGAGGCACATGGAAGTTCTAGTTTGGGAAAAAGAATACTCATAATGTCAAAGCCCACCTCCGACTGTCACGGCTGCTGTGTCTGCGTGCTGTTCTGAACTTGTGCACGGGCCCTGGTGAGTTTTCTCTATACAGTTGATCTGTCAGAGGGGTCAGTTGCATTTTTCCCATTTTCTAGATTACTTTTAGGCAAATGACTATCACACCCAAAGGACTGGGACAATTATTCATCAAAATCAACTGTTGGCGAGGATGGGGGACTGTTGCTTTGATCCATCTGCCATGGACAATATGTTGGAGGAAATTAAAGAGACACATGTTTGAAGGTCCAGCAAGTTCTCTTTAAAAAAAGAGAAATGATTCATCAATGAAGACATTTACAATAATGTTCATAACATAATGTTCATAAAAGGAAAACACTGGAAACGACTTCAGTGATCATACTTAATTATGAATTTAAATAGTTGTATTCACCCAATGGAATATTATCAGTCACTGAAAAGGAGCTGATCACATCTGTGCACGTGAGTTCAGTGGCTGTGAGGTTCACAAAAGTTAATTCATGTGCAGGAATATCATAGTATGATGCCTTACCTGCTTATTTCACCATCTTAAAGTGCGCTTACCTCTGTCTTGCAGATTGTTGTGGCTTCGCACAAATGAAGAGCTGGAGAAAATGATAGCATGTTAGACTTTCCTGTGGTGTTCACACTCCATCCAGGGGCAAGGTCAATGGTAACGGCTGAAACTGCATTGAAGCACTTCATATTTTACTTAATAGGCTAGAAGAATTGTTGGTTTTCTATGGCAACCAGAGGCTAGCTCTTCCCCTCCTCGTCCAAGGCCAGCAAATATTAGATATGAAATGCAAACACTGATCCACAGAAGTTCTTCCCAGGTCACTGCAGTGAGCACACATCAGAATTTTTTTTACTTTTTGAAGTCGTGAGTTTGACTTGCCTTGTACTTAGTCATAGAAATTAATACTCGACTGGTTGGGGCTCCTATTCTATAGAAACTGCTCACCCACTGAGACTCAGCTCTAGCTGGGAAGAAGAGTACAGAGGTCTCATTCCATCTTGAAATGTGAGCTGGGTGAGAAAACGATATTGACTATTATCGGGAGTTCCATAAAGAAAAAGGGATTAGAAGGCTGTGAGACCATCACAATAGCAATATGCATTTCTAAACACAAGACAGAGGCTCTAAGGCAGCAGTTAACGGTTTCCTTAGCACCTTGCTCTAATTTTCTGGTTCATTTTGTATTGTGGTCAGCATCTGTGGACAGGAGCTCCAGGTGCTAAGACAGTTAAATCTGATTTCATGGTTGGCGCTCTGTTCCAAGGAGTGTGCTATTGACTGAAAGAGCCTCTGGGTTAATTATCTGGAACTTGACCCTTTCCTAGCACTGACTGAAATCACCTGGGTATGGATCTGGGTTTTGTTACCCCCAGGGAAGCCCGCGGGGCCTCCCAGCTTGCTTTGTACAAGAAAATGCCAGCAGACCCTTTGGCCACCACAGTGTGCTGTACCAAGGGTCAGACTTCTGCCATCCAGGCTCTCCACTGTTGAAACCAGGGTCCCTCTCTTGGGAGCCAGTGGACACTTCCGTTAAATGTCTGGGGAAATAACAAGCAGCCAGATTGTTCTAATTTTCCAGAATTTTTAGGAAATATTGAAAGAGGAGGAATATCCTCTGAGGATACTCTGGGTCTTAAGTACAGACTTTATAAGGACAGAAGAAAAAAAAATCCCAAAATAAAAGCAACTAAAACTAAGATAAAAGTCGCGATTCTTTCATTTAACAAACACACGTTGAGCACTTTCTAGAGGTGTGATGTGTTTGGCGACAGTAYCATGAACGGACATGCTCTCTGCCCTGGAGGAGCTTGCCTCTTGCAGGGGAGACACACTTGCATCGTAATCAGAGCACACCTGGTGCACACTGTGGAGAAGGTGTGCCCAGCACACGTCCCTGAGCAGTGAAAGGTCACTAACGGACAGCATTGCCCTGGAAGAGGGCCTGGGGATTCTCGGAGTCATCAGAAGCCTATCACAACAATGCAGAGGGGAGCTGGTGGCCCTGGTCTGCCTGCGAGAGCTGGGGAGGAAGGGGAGACATAGGGAGACTCAAGACACATAGTGGAGTAGGATTTTGGGAGTTAGGAATGGATTGGATGGGAAGAGAGACAATGGGAAGAAAGTTCACCAGGACTGAGGCGGGAAAGTCTGCCGGAAGACCTTGTTGGTTGGGACTGGGAGTAGAAATGAAGAGCTAATTTCCAACAGAATCAGCTGTGATGCTTGTGAACTATGTGCAGGTCTGAAGCCAGGAGAGGAGGTGTGGTCAGAAGCTGGAGGGAGGGGGATTATCAACATGGCTTGACAATGGGCACTGAGACGTCCTCTAGGGACAGAAAAGGGAGCCTCAGATAAACTGAGTAACACCAACATTTAGAGTCAGTTTGGGAAATAACTCTAAGAAAGGCAATTATGCCAGAATCAGGAGACTTGGTGAAATAAATTAAATAAGCAAATAAAGTAAGCCAAAACCTATCAGCCAACTACAACAGGTATAAGTCAGAATGCAAGCTCATTATCCTTTCACCGTAATGATACATTTTTCTCTTAGAAAGTTATGTGAAGGGTKAGGGTGTTCTGTTTGATGTTGTGTCACATCGGGGGGTGGAACAGCAAATGGCTTGGAAGGGGGATAGAGCAACAGTCCCAGCACCCACGAGCTAAGGGGCGAGAACATGTTGGTAAAGGCACAAAGTCGGACAAGGCGAGGACGTGGCAGGGAGAAGGGAAGGGGCGTGTGGCTTCATAGCATGTGGTGCCATGTGCAGGCCTGTCCACAGAACGGAGAGCTGGTGTTGACCAGGCTCTTGCTTCATGCCTGGCTCTGCTCGGAGCTTCCCAACTGGGACAGAGATGCTGGCCAAGTCACACCGCTCACTGGTATGGCGGCACGGGTCTCACTCCTGTAGGTCCTGCTCAACCAGAGTTCTACTCGGCCCCGCTGAATAAAGACAGAATAAAAGGCTAGCCCCAGCGAGGTCCCGATTCAGTCTGGTTCTAAGCTGGGGTGTGATGGGTGAAAGAGAGCTCCCACGTGGGAGAGGGTGGAGGGAGGCCGTGTGGGCAGCGAGCGAGGTGGCTTCCAGGCATCCCGGAGCTGTGAGCAGCGTGTGCAGGGAGTGGCGGGAACCGAGGTCGGTCCCTGGCCAGGGTGGGATGGGGAAGTGGGCTCGCAGCAGTGACTTTGTGGAGGTCTTGGTTTTTGAACAAGCCACTATTAAGTTAAAGTGACTTGGTAATGAGTCATTCGCCAGAGGCTGTGTGTCTTCAGCTCTTCAGTGGAATTGACAGCTGTCACAATAACCTGATCAGGCGATTGTCTAATTGGAAATGCATTTTTAACACTATGAAGTTCTGTTCCAAAGAGACTATTATTAGCTCTGAGAATAACTAGAAATGACCAACTTTTCCTCCAAGAGTGATTAGCATCCATTCCAGGTAATCTGATCTAGTTAATATTCAATTCTTTCCCCTGCCCTTCACTAACACATGGGTCAGTCATAAATTAGAGAAAGAACAACATCATGAGATTCAATGATAGTTGGAGTCCACAGGTTCCCCTCATGCCTCAACACTGCCGTCAAAATCAAAAGCCAAGGAGCCTTGGTAGTCATTGTCCAAGAGAGCACCTTGCTACTCCCAAGCTGCAACTTAAGGGGGACTTTGTGACTCCTCACCTGGTCAGGGCAAGAGGAATCTTCCGCGTGATTCGGCTTTGCGATGGCTGGGATGATGCTGGCCTCATCTTGTCATGGGAAACTGTAAAGGTGTGACATAATTTGGTCAGATTGCATGTTGAAAGTGATCAAGGATCGTTAGAAGCCAACTCGAATGTCCCTAATTTCTGATTATTATTACTGGGATGTAGATGTCATTGGAAACTCTACAACCCTCCCAGATCCTGGGGGTATCTTTTCTCTGAGACTATAAAAATTACATTGAGCATTTACAATTGGGAACACACATTACCAAACTTCCTGGAAACACAGAGTACTGCCTTGGGAGATATTACAGGGATCATGTTACGCCAGTTAGTTTAGAAGACTTCTAACTTGATTCTCATTCATTCACATCACTCTGCAAATATTTACTGAACAGCTTCTATAAGATAGGTCTTCTTCCAGAATCTGGGGTCACAGTGAGAAGGGAGAAGTGGTTATTACATTCCAAGGAAAGGAGACAGGAACTAGGCATGCAATGCCTCCATGCTCGCATTTCACATAGTGTGAGTGACAGGCAGAAAGTAAAGCTCTACTTTGGATCCAGGGTGATTATGGGGCCCAAGCAGACCTTCTGAGAGATGAGCTCAGAGCTCTTAGTGAGAAGAAAGTTAAACCAGAGGACTGCTCTGGGTGATGCAGGGGACAGGCAGCCCAGTGCCAGCACAGACACCTGTGTTCTCAGACCCTTCCTGCAAAAGGGAGGAGAGCTTCCAGGACTCTGGTGTCGACTGGCAGTTCCCAGGTGGTCACCACCAGGGCTAGATTTTCTCCTTGATCATCAACTTTTGAAAAGCTCTGCAAACATACTCATTGGAGTTAGTTAGTGATCACATAGGCCATTGGTGTGGCTGCTAATGATTTCCTTTTCATCATGGATGGAGTTAACTGGCCATCCAGAATTACCAAGAGCACAGACGGCTCCTGAATATGAAATTCCGTGAACCCTCTCCCAGTTGTGACTGTAGGTAATGAAGCCAGGGAAGCCTGCAGACACTGATGGAACTGTTTTGGGATGTTACTCTGTTCTGTGTCCAAGGTTGGTCACAAACTAAGTCTTTGATTGAACGACTGTGATTACTTGAAATGTGATTGGAGCTACTGACTGGTCCATTAATAACACATCCCAGAAATTCATTCTGTGCCATCAACAGCCACCCAGAGCTTCTGGCCCTCTTGAGCTGAACCATGTCACATTTTGTGCTGATGACCACTGGAGCCTGGTGCAAGGACACCTGAGTTTGCATGTTGAAATTTACTGTGGGGAAGGACATGTTTTCATTAAGTTTTAAAATTATTTGAAATTGTCCATGAAACCCCCATTGCTCCATTGGGATCTGTGGGATGTCACAAAATCAGGTAGGCACTTCTTTGGGTTTAACTTCCTCATTATATACTGAAGAGCAGACTTGAGACCCCCAGAGGATGGGCACTTGTCTCTGGTTCCCTCTTTGGGCCAGAACATATTTTGCCTCTGAACATATTTTATCATTCAAAATGGATGGCATTTCAAACAAAGGTGGACATCAGGCACTGCCTGCTCCATATCCTGCCACTTAGTGGGTGTCAGACTGCATGCTTCTCTGAAAATGTTGAAAGTGATCAAGGACTGTTAGAAGCTAACTCAAATGACCATATTTTCATGCAAATAATTTATGATTATTATTACTGGGATGTAGATGTCATTGGAAACTCTAATGTGTGTGTGTGAGTGAGTGAGTGTGTGTGTGTGTGTGTGTGTGTGTGTGTGTGTGTGTGTTGTGGCAGGGACACCAAGGTCTCTTTGCCCAGTGGCAGGGGTGACAGTGTGACTCCTTTTGGTAATACCTGGGCTGAAGAAAGACCTCTGATTTAACCCAGATATACATTTCCTTGCTGAGACCAGAGGACGCTGGGTGGACTGTGAGGTCTAGACCCCTCTGATCCCTTCACCACGTGCACATATCTTACATCCTGGGCTTCAGTTACAATGCTTGTAAATTATGACTAGAGATCTAGAAACAGCACATCCTAATGGCAGTAGGGAAAGAAAGTTAAGGTAAAGAATTTACCTTCTTCTGCTTCAAGGACCTGTATTAAAAAAACAAATAAACAAACAACAAAAAAAAACATTGAGTGACTTTCTGTGTTACAGAATTTAATATAATACTATATGTGCTTTTAAAAAAATTTGGTTATAGTAGAATTTCAGGAAGAATTTTGTTAGCATAGATTTTTTTAAAAATCGTAGAATTTTGAAAAAAATTTTGTTAGTATAGAGTTTTAAAAAATCCATAATTCTCCAAAAGACTGAACAAAAACCAATTGGAAAGTAATTTAACTGAACAAAAACCAATTTAATTTCAAGGGTCTTAGACATGCTTTATTCCTATTGCAACAATTGCCTCAATGAGACTATTTCCAAGAAACAACCTGAACTCTGGACCAAGCTCAGGTACAAGGTGTTCAGCCTCATGACTCACAGTGTCATACAGCTGGTGTGTTCCTTGCATATTGAACTCTGATGAAGGCATTTGAAGTAGTGATGTAGGCTGGACTGGGGGGGGGGGCACTGGGAGCAGGCCTCGGCGGAGCACTGGAGTCCAGGATAAAAGCTAGGCCCCTCATGCATTGACATGCTAGTACGTCTTCATTGTACATGTGTGTGTAGGCAAAAAACAGTTCAAAGAGATATAAGATACCAACAGAGATTGTGTTTCGGTGATAAGGCTATGAGTAATCTTTTCTGTATACTTCTGTTCTGAAATGTTTTTTTAAAAATAAGCAGAAGATACTTGCATTATTCTTTTCAAACACAGCCATTTACCTTCCCAAACATTTCCTTTCTCTTTCTTTCCTTAAAAGTGACAGAGTTCCTGACTGTCCTTTGTTATGAAAATGTCCACATTTATTGGACTGGTATCCCTCACCACAGTGAGCTCCTGAAGAGGCAAGAATCTTTACAGTAGAATCTGTGTGATATTTGCTGAAGGGCATGTTTGACCACGAATAATTATGTGAAGTTTGGTTCGTGTATTGAGTCACCTGGAGACGACCTCAGGTGTCAGTTTCATAGGAACTCGTTTAACCTATGGGATGAGAAGGCCATTGGTGCTCTAATGAGGTTTGTGAAACTTTTGAAATAAAAGTGGTTTTCCTCTATAAATATGTGCATACATTTTTGGTGGAATGAGGAAGGTATATAACGCAGCATCAAAGTATTAAAGGAATAATTTAATGTCCTTGAAGTAGAAAAAATGTAAAATGTCCTTGGCTTACAGAGGAGATCCAAAGAGGTGATGCCATCTGCCCATGTTCCCACAGCCATCCTGCAGCTAAGCTGGCCTGAGCCCAGCTCTGCCAACTCACATTTGCTCCACAGATAGATAAGAAACCTGCAGCAACAGTTTCCTCACAGGGGCATCCTATGTCTTGTCTGAAGCCAGCCAACAGAACTTTTGTTTTAAAGACCATGGTACCCCTAGGGTTCTGGAAGGAGGACAAACTGTTCATTAGGAGAGCAAATCAAAGCAAATCCATGGCCAAGAACAAAGGGCCAGGAATGCATTCTAACCAGTGGTTTAGAAGGCTCCCTGGTGAGGCCTCCCCAGGACTTTGAACCTGGCGGTTCGAAGTGCTCATTCAGAGGCAGGAGCTCTCCGCTGTCAAAGGAGAGGGAGGCAGAAGGTAAGAGCAGAGGAGGAGCTTCCTCTGGGGGAGCAGTTGTTTTATCTCACTGAGACCCAGCCAACTTTTTGCTTGAGGGCTCTGAATTTAAAATCAATGCAGTTAGAAAAGTGCAGTATCTCTTGTTTTTCTACTTTAACTTTTTTTGTTGTTAAAAAATCAACATATTCAAGTGAGAGAGAAATGTCACCTCCTGCTGTCCATCCTCCTTCCCTCTTGCTCCCTCCTCTCCTTTCCCTCCCTCCCTCCCTTCCTTCCTTCTTTTCTTTCTTCCTTCCTTAGTATCTCCTTCCTCTCTTTTCTTTTTACTTTAGCTCAGGCTGTCCCTCTAATTTTTAAGGCAGAGAGTCAGGACTCTGGGGAGCAGACCTGGGCTTGGTGATTTCAGGGACTGGCCTGTCTTCTGCCATCTGTGGACATTGGCAGGTTGTCACCCCTCTGTCTTCATGTTTTCTTTCAGGGCTTTGTAGGGATGAGGTGAGACTATGATTCTCTATTCACTTTGAAAACTACGGAGGGCCGTGTGCATCTGAGTCAGCACATCATTTCGGCTGAAATATATTTTACTTTGCAAGACATAATTAAGCAATCACTCCATGTGCACACACACATGGCATTTGCCTCCTGGATGGGCTTTTGCAATGGAGAAATGACCTTGAATCTCAGCCTAGACAAACAATGCAGAAGCAGGTTGGCAAAACTTATGCAAGAACGAGTATTTCTATTAGATCCTGTTCTTCAGAGGACACCGTCTTCCAACAGAAGCCAGCCAAAGAGGCAAGGAGGACCAACAGCTCTGCACGCTTCCTGCTGCCTCCCCATTTCCTTCTTGCTCCCTGGTGATTGGAGGGGGGCACATGTCCTGTCAGACTGGTCTTTGTGTTATAGACGTGAAGTCATCTCGAGTGGCAGCCAGCCTCTACTTGAGGCACAGAAACCCAATCTAGAGGCAGAGTTCTGGGTTCAGGTACCTTAGATGTGCAGGGTCCCCTAGCAAGAGCACTGTGACCTGCTGCTCCTTCTCAGGGGTGCTCAGGAGCTCCCGTGACTCCCAGAAGAGCAGAGCATGGAGAAGTCCTCTATGGTACCGCACTCATCTCATCCAGCACTGATACCTGTGATCCTTCTTGACATGGTTCCTTTGTGGATTTTAGGGACTAAAGGTACTAAATGTCTTGTTCTAGTGACAAACTGGATGTGTGACTACTGATGTTTGCATTCTCAAAAAAGCAACAAATACAAAGAAAAGAAGGAAGTCAACGGACCTCTATGGTCTAGTGGAGGTATAGGGCAAATACCAGACAAGAACTGAGCCCCTTAGGAGTCCAATGTGAGCAAGGCGAGGCCATTCCTGCCAGGGGATGGAAGTTTTTCATCAGTCCCAGGGCCCATCGCCTTCTTAAGGAACTTCCTCTTTGGGAACTTAAGGACATGAGCCTTGGAGGGCTCTGTGATTGTGCCATCCTGCCTCATGTCCTTGCCACTTGTTGAGCCTTTACTGGCCCCTTGGCCATTTGTGTATTTACTTTGACTTTATCACAACTTTGCACAGAAATGTGTCCCTCTCTTCCTGGTGTGTGGGGCATTTGCCAAATTTCATAAACCCTAGTAGGGGGCAGAGCAGGGTTCACACCTAGATTGGTGAGGCTCTGACTCTCATCTGTCTGCCACTCTGCAGTCCTGTTTTCCCTGTGAAGATCAAGCAGCGTGGAGCCTACAGCTGCCAACACCCCATTTCTGTGCAGTGGAGGTTGGAAGCCAGGAGGGAGGTTTTGTGTTTTCCCTGTGGGAAGGGAGCATGTTCCCACTGCATCCGTCAACACTGAATGACCATGGGGTAGAGGAGGGTCTGCGTCTACCCTCTGGATCATAACCGGTTTAACTTAGGTTTCTCATCTTTAAAGCGGGGGCCAGGGGCATCATTCATTCTGAGCATGGCTACCACAAGAACAAAGTATGATAAGGTACCCAGAGAGAATCTTGCTCATTGTGGACACCTCATGCACATGAATTCCCTTTTTGTTTCCCAGGACAAAATTGCTACTTACCCCACGTAAGTCCTTTAAGCTTATCTGTCTATATGAAAAAGAAAAATGGTGTTAATAAAAAAACAATTCATAATGGCCAAGATAGAGTCATCCTGAGCCCTTATAAAACTCTGTCATTGCCAAATTAACAGCCCGTAGTCCAGTGTGATATTTATCACTCTTCTATAAATCTAAAGCAGGTTATTTTTTTCTCATAATTTTCTGAGGAATAAAAAGAAGCCAATATAAAAGGTGGTGACTTCAAGGACACAAATATACTTGCTTCTCATTTTAGGAGAATTTAAATAACGTTGTCATTTCTCCTGACATTTGATTCCCATGTCTGATTTCATGAGCGCAGTCAGACCTATTGTTAGCTAGATTTTTAAAGCTCTCACTTTTTTTTCTCCTCTGAGAAAATGTAAAAGGTTTAAATATGAAACTGTCAGGTAGAGTGGCAGCCCAGGAAGGTGTGTGTAAAAGAAAGATCACTGACAATGAAAGGGAGCCTGAGACAGGGAAAGAATCATGAGACTGAGAGGAAAAGGGAAAGAATCCAACGAAGAAGTCTACTCTGTGGACACTGGCCGAGTCTCAGCATCATCTCCCAGATGTTCATTATATTGGAAAGTCAACTTCTCCAAACCTCATTTTCTCGTGTGCAAAATGCCAACAAGCGTCCTCATCTTGGAGGGTTATTGTGAGAACTGCTAGAGATAATAAGAAAAATGGGGCATTCAGTGGGCAAGGTGTTCGAATGTGGCCAAACTCCCCATAGGAACTAAGGATGTGGGCTGCGGGTGCCCGTCCCAGCTACCATGTCCATCAGTGAAAGGCCAGGAACTGAAGGATGCTGGGGGTTAAAGACTGCCACGCCAACCTCACAGGCGCTGTGGATCCAAAGCTTTCTGGGTCTCTCTGTCTTGGGCAAAATGGCCCCAGAGCACATGGATCTCAGATACTTTCTGGTCTCGAATTTCCAAGCTAGGGCAGCTGTCCTTGGGTTCCACAGCTTTTAACGATCATCTGAGCCCATCGGAGACAGATAGCACCTCTGTACCTCCCTTGCCTTTTAGTTAGCAGGTAAGAAGTAAGAGATACAGTCAGAAGCAACCAAGTAGAACAAACACCTGTACTATTAATTATTTTGCAGTTAAATTGAGACTAATCTCAGTATTCTTAATGTTTAAGAGACTCTGGCATAGTAGGGGTGTTGATGGACTGACTATGTGGCTTCAATTTAAACATGTGTAATTGATTTTGGACTTTCAATTTTAAGTTACAATAGTCAAGACACATTTTAACTCCATTTGAAAAGCATTTGAATCAACTCCATTTGTAAAGCATTTAAACTGTGCACGAGAAATTGATTTTTTCTGTATTTATCTCTCTATATACATTTACTTTATGTGATTTACAAAAATTGTTAAAGTTTGGTTGCTAGAATTTAAAACTACCTTGTCAGTAATAGAAGTACTTAAAAATCAGGTATTCTCAATTTATAAAGACATTTCAAATAYTTAAGTAGATTTAACTGAGTTTGTAAGTACTTACTATCTAAGATGCCTTAAACTATCTTGGTTGAGTTAGTTCACATTTGTAGAACAAGCAGAGTGACTGTGTTTCTCTTCCCATAAAATAACTCAATTTATAAATAGAGCAATGAGTTTTACAGATTGAAACTTGAGGCTTCAGGAAAGGTAGGTTTTGGAATGTGTCATTTTAACAAGCTGAATTTTAAGACAATGTGGGGACTCTAAGAAGCTGCTTCTTTGCATAGCAGGGTGAGGCCCTCTGGCCTCTGCACATTTGATCCTTCCCAGGCCCACGTGGAGCCAGAGGGAGCCTCTCTGACCTCCTTGGTTTGTCCATGGAGATGGCCAAGGACACATGGCCATTAACTACTTGGAAAAAGAGTTCTCACATTATTTCCTTTGCATAATGTGTGCTTAGTATAAATTTAAGGATATTATCATTTACTCCAATTGTGGACCTTCTTGGACATCTTTTAGTTTAAAATGAATTGGATTTGAATCCTTTCTTTGTCATCTATGGGCTGTTCAGTTCCCTCTCTGAAACTTAGTTTTCCCATCTACGAAATGGACAAATCCAGCCAGTCATGGAACAGCAGGGCTAATACAGACAAAAGACTCCTGATGGGCAGGTAGATGCAGGAAATGTTGTTGGGTGCTCTCATTATCACTCCAGAGGAGTTTATGCGGTGCTTGGCCATGGTGTTAAAATTGCRGTGGATCCATAGTTGTGAAGTCCCTCCCTTTTTAATTCCCTTTCAGAGGACTTCAGGGAATTCTGAAATTCCCTTTCAGAAGGACTTCTCCTTCCAGGAGTGGACTTCCACTGGAATCTTACCCAGTGGTAAGATTTCCTAAGCACCAATCTAACATTTGCGTCTCATTTCTTATAATAGAAATTTCCCCAGGCTGGGCCGCAATTATATATGGTCAAAAGTCTCTGTTTGAATTAAATTTACTTAAGTGAAGAAAAAATGAACTAGGGAAAGAAATATTAAATAGGTAGATATTGTAACAATAATAATYGTGGTGCAGAAGTGGTTGAGGACATCCCACCCGTGTTCTCCAAACTTCAAAGACCTCAAGTTAGTTGCCAATGAATGATCTAAATGACATTTCTGTGAACTGAAGTGCTTCCATTCAGCTATTGTTTAGTGAAGCCAAGACTTAGCTTTAAAAAAGAGAATGGCAGAGCTGGTGGGGACAAACAGGGGCTGAARGACAATAGCTGGAACCACAGCTATTCATTCAGGGCAGCGTGGCAATCATGGGCTGCAGCTGCCACAGCCAGGCTGTCCACAATCCATGCCGCTGAGGGCCAGCTGCACATCACGGTCCCTGCCTGGGTGGGGCGACACATCCCCAGTGCCTGACAGAGCAGCTGCTGGGAAGGGGAGGGGTGCATTTCCCAGCCTTACTGGGTTGTTTACATGTGGCCTGGGTCACCACTARGGCTGCCTGACCACCCATGTGGACCCTGCTGGAGTGCAGTGGAAATCCCAGCTCTCCTCCTCAGCACATGCTCCTCTGCCGGTGGCATTTCCAGAGCCCCCTAAGACGCTGCATGCCTCTGTCCCTCAGAAGCCACTTTGCCATCCTGTGGCTTTGACTGGGTTACCTCACCTCTCTGACACTTGGTGACATGACGGGCACCACTACTGAGCACCTAAGTACCATCGTAGCCTTGGGAGACCGTACTTTACAGGGCGGCTGAAGGAGGTGACAGGACAAAATGCCATCCCTCCCTGGAGCAGAGAGATCCAGCCCAGTTCTCAACACACCTAAAAATGATCGAATGCATGTGAACTGCAACTACCCAGAGACACAAGTGCCAACCTCCTGAGAGACCAACACCACTTCAATGGTGGCATTGTGGTGTGGTTGCAGGGGGACACTTCAGTGAGGGAGGGAGCCTGATGTCAGATATTGGAAACCTGGGCATAGACAAGCCTCAGAGGTCTTAAAGAACGTTCTGGAATTATGCATCCAGAAGTGGCTCAGGTGAAATCCAAACCCAGTTCTTCTGGGGCCCAAGATCCTGTTCTTTCCAGCACAAAGAAGCAGAAAAAAAGATCAAAGCCCCTTCTTCACATCAAATAACCTCAGCACATAGGGTATTTATCAGTCCCATTTCCTRTGTCCTGACTTCTCTGTGGTCTGACCAGTCCTTAACATTTTGACCAAGAGTTTTGGGATGGTTCATTTTGTATTCTCAATTCTGATGACACCACGCATAGGTCTGAGGTTCTACTGCCTCTCTGTCTCTGCCTCTCTGCTTCTCACTCTGAAAGTGAAAATCCAAATGGAGCAACTTTGTCAACTCCTGTTCTGGTTAGGTGCCCTTGGGAGCTGCGCAGGAGATACAWGTTTGTCAGACACCCATGGCAATGTGTCAGTCACTGCCAGGAAGCATGGATACCTAAATGAGCTAGCCTTTCCCTTTGGAGTGGAGGGCTAGGTTAGAATCTCAGGGCATTACAAGGGGTGAGAAGGGCATGCACAGAAAGGGGCTCAAGGTCATAAGCGTGCAGTAACTGTCACAGATATGTGCTGTCAATGGGGTGTAGTTAGGTAAATYGGGTCTCATACSGAGTGAAATCTAAAATGGAGGCCATGCTGAGAATGATTCTGGGAAACACAGGACAACTGATGGAATGGAAAGGCCCTAGGCCAAAGTCCACCCCAGAGGAATGTTAATGGAACCCAGGAAACAGCCCCCAACAGATTGGGAGATAGCCCATCSCAAAGAAATGTTAATGAAGTCCTTCCGGCCCAGATTACTTGTKACATTCCATCACCAAAACTATAAAAAGGGGAGACAACCGCACTTCCAAGGATTCCACCTCTTGGGTCCCCTTCTTCCTCYGGGAGAAGGAGAAGTCTTTTCTGCTGTCTTTTAATAAACTCCTAATCTCTACTCTGACCTTGCCTYGGTGTGCTCTCTGGTGTTATTCTTCAACATTGGGGAGCAAGGACTCCTCACCGGTCAACAGCRGTAACACCATTGGATCCTCACGTTAGCCCACAAGGCAGGAGGTGGACATTGATACCTTTCTTTCTTCCTGAGAAAAGCCTTGGCTTAAAAAAGTCTGTACCTTATTTTTCAGGGTGTCCTGAGGCAGGGTCTCTTCGGCAGTGCACAGAACTTCCCTAGCTTCATGCTCCTGTTCAGGGCTCCCGGGCACACAGTGGGGTGCTCAGCAGCCACTCTGCTCTTCTCATTGCATGCCAGCACCATCCCTCCACCCACCCACCAACCAACCAACCAACCAAATAACCAACCAACCAAGTCTTCACAGCCCCACATTCTCCAGACTGTCCCCAGCGGGGAGGAGGGACAAAGCTGCCTCCAGCTGAGAACTGCTCCCCACAGGGGCCAGTGCAGAAGCAGCACAACCTCAATGTCAACGTGGCAGTTTGACTGCAGATGTGAACCCCCATGCCATTTCCCACAGACCAGAAGGACATGCCTTGGAACAGAGGGTGCTTCTTGGAAGAAGTCTGTTACGTGGGACTGTAAAGGATGCGAAGACGAGACCTTCACCAGACAGCTGGGGGGCAATGGCATTGGCCATTTGTGTCCCCATCAGAACCCGTGCTGCATGGGATCCCCACAGAAGCTCAGAATGGGCCTGGTGTCCTCAATTCCAGGGAYGATTCCTGAGATACGTTTCCTGGAGAAGTCACCTAGAGAAGTCATGCCCTGGGCCTCAACCTGCTACTGTAGTCTGCAGTCACAAAGCAGAGAGAAGGGAGGGAGGGGCGCCGCCTCAGCRCTAACTTCCCAAAGAAGGCAATTTTGGCCTTCTCGAGTGCCCCGCATGTTTGGGACTGTAGATCATCATTAGCCCTTAATTCCAGAGGTTTGGCTTTTATATATTTGTCAAAAATGGCAGGAGCGTTTTTGACAGGAGGGGTTTAAATCATGGTGCGATTTCCCCAGCCTRAGTGTTTGGTCCTGGATAGTCAGAACCCCCTTTGGATTTTTACATACAGGGCCCTGAATTCCTCCTGGCGAGTATCATATTCTTTAACAAATTCAGGCCTCAAGGGAGCAATTCTTTCAATAGCTGAATTGATTACAGAGAGGCTGTGCTTTCTGTGAACAATCAAACCACAGGCTTCTACAACCCTTCCCTCTGGGTGTCCTTGGCCCCCTCGCCCTGGGGCAGTGCCTTTAGAGCGGACCCCTCCCCTCCCACCACTCTTCCTGGTCACTCCACCTGCAGCAAGAATAAGGCTCTCACCTGGGCCCTCCCTGGGCTTCTGGAGAGGTGTGTCTCTGAGGGAGAGGTGCACTGCTCTCTGGTGCCGGTGCCCGGGGCAGGGGCTGGTGCTGCTTCGGGAGAGTGGCGGGAGGCCTGGGTGAAGATCACAGGGTGAAGACCACAGTGGGCCTGAGCCCGCCTGCAGCTCGGGACGCTCCTCACCCTGCCTCCTGCATCCCGAGCTCTCCACAGCAGCCCCACCCATTCCACATTCCACGTAGCTCCAAATGTCAGGGCAATCATTCTTCTAAGGAGTCTAAATCTACTTCCCGGAACCTGCCCTTTGATCGGTTGCTGTTTCCTACAGCATGTGGTGTGGTTTTCTCCAGGGCATCGTGTACTTTTCAAAATGAAATGCTGCCTGTTTAGTGTGAGGAATCCTGGGGAAAGAAGAACAGAGGCCTGCATCCCTCCCAGACTGGAAGACCTGAGTTAACAGGGAAGGGTCTTAAGGTCGGCGAATGCCCCCTCACCCAGTTTATGTACTCATTGATTCATTGATTCATAGTGTGTCTGGCCCTTTGGTAGATGCTGGAGATGCAGAGAGGAAAAGACACAGCGTTGACTGCAAGATGCTTTCCTCTGGGAGGGAGGAGAGGGAGGTGGAGAAACCATGGGCCACCAATGCTGCAGAGCCGCACAGGCCCAGGGAGGCAACGCGAGGGGCMGACATCCTGGGCGCCTCAGCAGCCAGGGCTCCAGCTCTTGCCTCTGTGTACATGGAGAAATATCCTAGCGCCTGTGTTTCTCTGGAGAATGCTCTTCCTTAAACATATGTTTCCACATTGTAAGCCCTTCACCCAAATTCCAAGTCTATCCACCTATCGACTTATGATTGAGGTGTGTGGAGTGGGCGTGGGCCGCTGCCTGTGCACCTGGGCATGAGATGCATACGCYGATTTGATCTGGTGATTTCTGTACTAAGAGAAGGGAGGGAAAGAGGAAGGGATAGGCAGAAAGACACTCATGGAGCAACAGTAAGGGAAGGGACACTGGGMAGGTAACTGTGAATGAAGGCGGGACTAAATGGACCACTGGAGACTGGGTCAGCCCTGTCCATTGTGTCAGGTTTCTGGGGTCAATTGTCTCTCCCTTCAGGCACCAGCACAAACCGTTTAAGTATTAAAACAAAACAAAAAAACGATTTTCAATGTCTTACCGAGGAGGYGGCAAAGGAGTCTGTGAAATGAAGGAGAAATGGAAATTACATTTGTTGTTCTTTGCGAAGCTCCAAGGGGTGAATTTATTTTTTGTGTTTATGATTAGAAATTACAAATAATGACCAAACTCCTAGAACATATTTTTCAAGTAATATCTTAAGCTTCTATATGGTCCACATTTCTATACTTAAAAAAAAAAGAGAAACGAATATATTTTAATGACTTACCATGTTTCCCTTTATGGATCTGTTCTCTAAAACACAAGAAGAAAATGCAGTGAATTTATAGAAAACATTRTCAAGTGCTATTCTTACATAGGCTTAAGCGGAAATCATTCCTGATTTAAATACTGTTGATGATAATGTTGATTAATAGTTGCTGAGATTTTAGTAGGTACCTGGCATGATGCTAAGCGCTATACTTCTGTGGTCTTATTAAATCTCACCTTCACTGAAGAAAATGAGATGTTGGGAAGTTAACCATCCCATCCACAATCACCCACTCACCCAGCTAATATATGGCAGAATGATTGTGGGGTGACTCAGAACCTCCTGTTCCTGGTTGGAATTACCATTCCTTACATTTACATCTATACTGTGTGTGTGTGAGTGTGTGTGTGTGTGTGTGTGTGTGTGTGTGTGTGTGTGTGTAGTTTTACACATATGTGTATAATTAATTTGAGTTTCTTTCTTGTAACTTCATGGAGCTTTTCCAAGCAGAAGAAAAATAGAAGGGTCTTGAAGTCCCCCAGAATCTAGCTCCCGTATTTAATGAATAACAAAAGTAGGAACCAATTAGGCAGGAAAATTTCTCAAGATCAACTAACTACAGAAACAGCCTGACCGGGGCCTGGAACAGATTTTTCTGACTTCTCTGCAGTTTTATTTCCACGATTCAATTGAATTCAAAGGAAATTATTGAGCTGCTACTCTGAGCTAAACCTAGCATGAGGCACGGGGGTGGGGGGGTGGGGGGGTTGGTGAGGGGACACAGAAGCAATCTTTAGAAACCTCCAGGAGTTGGGGCTGGGGACAGGTTTGAACTCCCCACCCCATGTCACTGGGGGCTTCACTTCACTTTGCCTTCTATCAACTTTGTCTTCACATTTTTTTTTTCTAATTTTGTAAAAGGTCCAGCTGGCCCTGAACAACCCAATACAAACTAAACTGGTCTGAAATATTTTAATACATCTTCCAGGTCAAAAGTAATTACTTCATTGAATTGGTACCGGTTAAGCCTCACCTCATCACCTGCTCCTCGTTGCTCCTGGCGACCACCATTCTGCTCATAGTTTCTATGAGTTTGACCATTTTAGATTCCACAGAAGTGACATCAGACAGTATTTCATCAATGTCTGGCTTGTTTCTCCTAACAGAACACTGCCCTCCAGGTCCGACCACACCGTTGCAAATGGATTGAGAGGATCCGCTTCCTTTTAAGGTGGAAAAACACTCCATTCTTTATCCATTCATCGTCTGTGACACCCAGGTTGCTTCCACATCTTTGCTATGGTGAATTATGCTGCAAGGGACATGGGTGGACCTGTCTTCAAAATCCCAATTTCAGTTCTTCTGATGCAAATCAGAAGTGGAATTCCTGAATCACATGCTGATTCTACTTTTAGTTGTTGGAGGAACCCCCACACTGATTTCCATGATGACAAACCGATGCACATTCTCATCCACGGTGTGCAAGGGCTCCCTTTCTCCACATCATGGTGGACACTTGCCATCTTGTTGTTTTAAATGATAGTTATCTTAACAGGTGTGAGGTGCACTGTGGCTCTGGTTTGCATTTCACTAATGCCCAGAGATTCTGAGCTTTCCCTTGTATATGCCGATTGACTGTTATCCTTGGGAGAAGTCCACCCTTGCCCATCTTCAATCGGGTCACTCTTCTTTCCCCCTGCTATTGTGTGAATTCTTGTGTATTTTGGATATTAACCCTTTATCAGATGCATGTTTTGCAAATATTTGCTCCCATTTTATAGTTTGCTTTTCATTCATTGATTGCTTGCAGTACAGAAGCATTTTCATTGGATGAAATCTTGCTTATTTTTGCTTTTGTTGCCTGTGCTTTTGGTTTCATATCCAAAAGTTATTGTCTTGGCCAATGTCATGAGGCATTTCCCTGTTTTTTCCTATGGGAATTCCATGGTTTTGGATCCTGAAGTTTAACCTTTATTCCATCCCAAGTTGGATTCCTTGCATGATGTGTCACGAAGATCCAACTCTTTACTCTTCTGCATAATGTGGATATCAGTCCTTCCAACAGCTTTTATCGAAGAGGCCAAATCTTCCCACCCCAAATAATTGTGTATTCTTGATGCTTTCATAGAAAATCAGGACTGTGCATCTGTAGGTTTATCTCTGGGCTACTCATTCTGCTCCATTGGTCTACAAGCGCATTTCATCCTACGCTGCCCTGACCACTACACCCAGTAAGAAAACTTGAAATCAGGTAGYGCGATGTCTCCAGCCTTGTTCCTCTTACTCAAGGTTGCTGCTCAGTCTTTCCAGGTGAACATGGTGAATCTTTCTGGTGCCCTGTCCATGTGTCCTCTGTCTTCACTATGTTGTTTTTCTAGCCAGCTGGTATTTCTCTGTCACTTTTTAAATTTTGTACAAATACTATCAACAACAGCACCAAGGCCTCGAGGAGGATTGAAGCCACATCAGATATGCCCACTGCTGAGCACTGAGGCCGGGAGCTTCACTTACTCCTTGYTTAGATTATCAGTATTCTATAAAGTGGAAGGGCCAGGTGACCTTGAGGGGGTTCACAGGTGAGAAAACTAGATCAGACATGAAAGTAGCTTGCAAATAGCTGTCCTACAGCTTTGGTGGCAATTCAGAAAAATTTGACAAATTTTTTAAACTTGGAGGTCTTGTTTAATAAAGTAATAGCAAGGTAGGCATTTTCAATAATGAAAAGGTAAGATTTGGAGTTGAATTTCTTGAGATTGAATCTTGATTTTGCTACTAACTTGGGCAGGATGTTGGCAAGTACTCGATAAATGTTTATGAAACAAATGCATTGAGGAATGAGTGAGCATCCTCATCCAGGAAAGTGGAGGGTGATACTTATACTTCATGGGAATTTATATGTGAAATAAATGAGTTAATGTTCTTCAAGCTGTTGTTCTTATTGTATGCCTGTGTTACTATTATAATCATGTAATGGAAAATTAGAGGGGAKATGGGAATTTGTTTCCTGGATAAGTACACAGATATTCTCAAATGCTAAGTTTCTTGTCAAACAAAAGGAGCCAACTGGTTGTTCTTCAAGGTCCTTCCTGTCTCCGTGAACAGTTTTCACTTGAAGAAGGCTGTCGCGCAGGACGCCATCTGGTGGCCAGAGGTGTTACTAGCATCGTCTGCCCAGAGTGCTTTTCATTCTTGAAAGAGGTGTCAAGTCAGCCGCCCCAGGTTCCTCTGGGGAGTAAGGCAGGACGTTGGTCTATTTCCTCTGCAACCCACTAGGGAGAAACCATGAAGAAGTGAATTGCACGGTGTTCCTGGAGGCGAAAGCCAGGCTTTCTGGCGACGGAAGAAGTCCTAAGAGACCTGTTCATGATGTGTTGTTGTTAAAGTTTCAAAACTTTTGTCACCTGGTGTTAAATACTGCCATTATTAAAAGATTGATCAAAACAAAGGTAATCACTGTGGCAGTGCACCCCTGCTGGCGGACCAACAAAGCAGCTTATGAGCCAAGTGGCTAGTCATGTCAGGGTCATTGACCTCCATTGCAGCTATGGTTGGAAGCCAGAATCTCATCTCTTCTGCGCCCTCCCCCACTCCAGGTTCACAGTCACATCTGCAGCCTGAAACCTAGCCTGCGGGAGAATTCACACCAGGAGAACCAAGGTACAGATCAGGGTCTGACTTCCTGTTTGGTTCCTTGTCAAGATTTAAGAAAGCGATAGAGAAGATGTTAATGAGGCAGACTCATTTCAAAAGTGTCCTGTCTGTAGCTGTTACTTAGTGAAGAGTGAAAACTGAAGAAATACAACTTGACTCTTTCACCAAGAGATTCAGGTTAGAAAGTGTCCAAGTCCTTATATGAATTGCAGCCTCGGTTTGGCTGCAGATACAATAGCTTGGAAAATCTTCAAAAGTCTTCTGTAAGGACCCACTGACTATGGAATTGTGATAAAAGTGCTGTGTCATTTACTGTTATTTCAAAATAGTGTATAATACACATCCTTTTATCAGTAAAATATAAAGTGACTTCAAATACATATGCACTTTTCTTTTTTCCCTCTAGAGATCTAGTTTGGGTGAATGATTTAATACAAATTACTTGGCCTGAGTTTTATATCCTTATTTGTGATTTTAAAGGGCTGGCAAAGAAGATATGGAAGAGCCAAGATTCTGCCTCTTGGTGCAAGAGACAATGATGCAATCGAGTGGTCACAAATGACATCTGTGAAGCCTTCAAGCTGGGTTCAAAGCCCACATTAGTCACTTACTGACCTYGGACAAGTTATTTCAATGTTCTGGGTTTCAATGCCCATGTTTTTACTGTAGAATGCAGATAATGACATCTAGTTCCTTAGATTGTGATGATTAAATATAATAATATTTGGCTATCACTAAGCTTTTCATCCAATTTGTGTTGAATACATGCAGTTCCCTTCCTTTATCTACAGAATACAATTGTACAAACCCACACTTTCAGAAATAGACCATCAGTGTGATATTCTGTAGTTAGAGAAATGGACTTGGGGGAAAATTGCATAGAACGTGGCTTCACTCAGAACATTTAATATGTCTAAAAGTCTTATGAGGAAGTGAACTGTCAGGATACTGTCCTGGGGATTAACTTCGTGAGCGTCCAAAAAAAGCAGTTTATGAGCCAAGTGGCTAGTCATGTACGTTTGGCAAGGCCTGTTTGAGAAGCATCTCCAAGGCTATCCACACTTTCTGAAGTTAATGGCAGCAATAAATGACTGAACCTGGTCTTTGGGCTGCGGTGGGGAGTGGTCAAGTTAGGCAAAGCCAAGGATGTCTAAAGGCCCTTCRCACAAGGTCAGCTGGTGCCAGTTTTAGGCACAGG